GAATAACAACAGTTGTATGTAATTCCCTTGGAGAATAACGAAAATTGTTCAGGGAATTCCGCCAGACAATACCAATGATAGCCACCCCTAGAGCAGTGGTTTCTAGTCTTCCCAATGCCGCGACCATTTGATACAGTTGCTCATGTTGTTGTCACTCCCAGACATACAGTTTTTTTCGTTGGTACTTCATATCTTCTGTGAATGTGTTTTTTGACGGTCCTTGTCGACCACTGTGAAAGAACCGTTTGACCCCAAAAGGGATTTTGCCCTACATGTTGAGAACTGCTGCCCTAGAGAGTAATGAATGTTGCAGATAACTCCGCTAGAGAATAACAATCACAGTAACAATCGCCCAGTAACTTGTGTGTACATTTGCTGTTGCAGCAACACGCACGGAGAGCGCCCCGTTGTCTATGAAAGTGATGAGAGGAGAAGTCTCGGCAAAGACCACATACCAGAGGACAGCCAATGGACCGGTCAGTATCGCCGAGGCCAACCCAGAGGGCAAGTACATCATGCTGGAAAACAATTCCAATGGAGGCATCAGAAAGGTGGGTTCCGTGCTTGGATGGGTGCATGCGTTTGGTGTGTGTGTGTGTGTGTGGTGTGGGGGGGGGGGGAAGCTTCAAGAGTGTAGTGATTCGACTTGATGTATCAATATGTGATAAGAAAATACTGGTTCTGATGGAGGGATGCAAGGTGTGGATGTGGGCAATCTAGATGGATGGATGTTTGCGATGAAAGCGTTGGTTTGGGCAGAGGGATGCGAGGTGTGGATGGTAAATAATCTAGATGGATGGATGTTTGCGATGAAAGCGTCGGATGGATGTTAAACGTGAAAGTGATGAATGTGAGGGATGGATGTAGAGTATGACAGTGACGATTCCGAGAGATTGATGAATATTAAGTATGCAATGGACGTTCTGATGGATAAGTGGATATTAAATAAAACAAATACAAAAGTGATACTTTTGATAAGTGGAAATAATTAAAGTAAAGGACCCTTTTCCACGCCTTTAGGCATTTAGGGCATATAGGGCTAGACCTAAACTTTATAGACCAATCGGCACAAGATGGGTGATGTAGTCAGTTTCACGCCCTTCACCTTTACTTCCCGGGACTGCACCCGGTACCCACTCAAGGCTGGGTCGACCTGGGAGCCAAGGTCATTTTTGACAAATGTCTGGCTCCGATAAGTGGATATCAAGCACAAAAATGTGAGTTTGGTGGATGGATATAAACTCTTTGATCCCCAAACTACAGCTAACATGTTTCTTGGTCATTCCAAAGATGTTGATGGCTCTCTTCTGACACAGACAGGTGGCATAGTAACCACTGTTATCACAATGATCAAGTTGACTGTATGTGTTCAACACTCAAGGGAAGGGCGAGAGGGACATACAATCAGGCCGTTACTGGTGCCATCGGTATTGGAACTCTTCGTTTGTTCCTGAAGATGAAGACGGAGCGCTTAAGTTGATGCCCCGAGTGCTATGTTGTCAATTCTTTACTCAACATGTGTTCTATTTGGTCTCTTCTGAACTTCTACATATCTCAGTATTCATCTTTTTAAGCTAAACACCGCGGGCAAGGACGGAGTCAGAATAACAACTGCTTGCGACTGAAAGAATCGAGTTGAGTCTTACAAAGACGATTGGTTGAAAGTGACCTGACATCTCATCTAGACTGAACCTAAAGGTTTATCAAGAAATGTTGTGTGGCATGTACAGGCAGATTCTAAAGCTTCCACGTAGTGCCTACTGATAAATCTACACAACTATTGGCACGCACGATAACTTGATAAACATCCAGTCTGGGAATTGGTCCACTGTGTTCACTATCTCTCTGTCTGTCCTTCAAGAGGAACGGCTTTCTATATCTATGGGGGGAGGGGGGGGGGGATTGCTATGTACAAAAAAAGGGGAGGGGGAGAGGGATTTGGGGTTTCAGTTCAATTGGTCATTACTGCATTTTCGAGGGTGGAATCTTACCATGGTAACATCTAATGCCTTACAGGATGTTGATCTCAGTGGCTTTAGGCTCCGGCGAGTTGTGGACAACAACAGAGCTCGCGCCATCGAGTACACCTTCCACAGCTTCTTGCTGAAACCAGGCAGAAGTGTCAAGGTCAGTCGACTAGTCTGTTTCCGGCTTCACGCCCAAGGCTTCTGTTGTCACTGTTTCTGTTGTCAATGTTTCTGTTGTCAACGTTTCTGTTGTCAATGTTTCTGTTATCAATGTTTCTGTTGTCACTGTTTCTGTTGTCAATGTTTCTGTTGTCACTGTTTCTGTTGTCAGTGTTTCTTTTGTCAATGTTTCTGTTGTCAACGTTTCTGTTGTCACTGTTTCTGTTGTCAATGTTTCTGTTGTCAACGTTTCTGTTGTCAATGTTTCTGTTGTCAACGTTTCTGGTGTCAATGTGTCCGTTGTCAATGTTTCTGTTGTCAATGTTTCTGTTGTCAATGTGTCCGTTGTCAATGTTTCTTTTGTCAATGCGTCTGTTGGCAATGTTTCTGGTGTCAATGTGTCCGTTGTCAACGCTGACATTGTCAGTATCCCGGCTGTTCTTGTTTAGCTGTTGGCAAAACTGCGTTTTGTTTTCATTGATCTTCAGATTTTGTTGACTTTTCAGGAGCACTCTTTTTAATTCACTATTATGTGTAAAAAATAAAAATTAAAGTTGAAACAAAAATATCTATTTTTTAACTTTACAAATCCCTACGTTCTCTTTAGAAGCTGAGAAACAGTCTAAGAATCAGATTTGTATTATGTTGCTTTGAGAAAGTCTAAGAATCAGATCTGTATGTTGCCTTGAGAAACTGTCCTAGAATCAGATCTGTATGTTGCCTTGAGAAACTGTTCTAAAATCAGATCTGTATGTTGCCTTGAGAAACAGTTTTAGAGTCAGATCTGTATTTCCGGACACTGGAGTGTTACGGGGAGGCATCGAAATCATGGCATCTGTGAAACTGCTAACCAGAATCCGCCTGTGTATTAGTGCCTTGGCTAACTAACCCGCCCTGTGGCATTAGTGATGTTGGCTAAGAAGACCCGCCTGTAGTATTAGTGAAGTGGCTAACCTTTGACCCGCCTGTGGTATTAGTGTATGTTGGCTAACAAGACCCTGCTGTGGTATTAGTGATGTGGCTAACAAGACCCCTGTGGTATAGTGATGTGGCTAACCAGATCCGCCTGTGGTATTAGTTGATATGGCTAACCAGACCCGCCTGTGGTATTGCCTTGAGTGGCATAACCAGACCCGCCTGTTGGTATTATGACTGTGGCTAGAACAAGATCCGCCTGTGGTATTAGTGATGTGGCTAACCAGACCCGCCTGTGGCATTAGCCTGTGGCTAACCAGACCCGCCTGTGGTATTAATGATGTGGCTAACCAGACCCGCCTGAGGTATTAGTGATGTGGCTAACCAGACCCGCCTGTGGCATTAGTGATGTGGCTAACCAGACCCGCCTGTGGCATTAGTGATGTGGCTAACCAGACCCGCAAGTGGCATTAATGATGTGGCTAACCAGACCCGCCTGTGGCATTAGTGATGTTTCTAACCAGACCCGCCTGTGGCATTAGTGATGTGGCTAACAAGACCCGCCTGTGGCATTAGTGATGTGGCTAACCAGACCCGCCTGTGGTATTAGTGATGTGGCTAACCAGACCCGCCCTTAGTTTAACCATGGACAGAACGGGAGCATCGGCGAGAGCGACTGTTGAGACTAGCTCCAGACGATGGGGCACGATTGTGTAAAGACCCCCCTCTACAGTAGTAGAACAGTAACTCACTTTAGGCGGACCCTGGGCGTTAGCTGAAATAATGCTACATGTAGTTGTTTAGTCGATAGATTATCCTCACATGGAATCATTCAGTCCATAGATGCTCTGTCCCCCTCCTCAGTAAACCGTACCTAGTAGGGGATGGCTACTACCATCGTGTGTTGGTTTATGTTTCACCTTCGGCTTCCTGCGAAGTGCTCTGTCTACCCACACCTCTTTTAACCTTGTCCTTCCAATCTGGTTGTCGTTGCAGATTCACAGTAGATCATTCAGAATATCAAAACCTGATACATAGCTGGTCCATCCTCGACAGTAGCTTTACCTTCAAGCCTATCGTCTAGTTCATGTCCCTGCACACCTACTACGCCCTGTCGACAAGATGACACTGATAATTTAGTACATGTTCTGATAAGTTGAAGCTCTGCATGTTTCTTTGGCAGATCTTCGCTCGGTCGGCCGCAGCCCAAGCTGGTCCCAATGACCTAGTTTTCCGTGACGTTGAATCTTGGGGTGCCGGAGCCGAAGTTGTGACTACCTTGCTTAACGAGAAAGGAGAGGTAAGACTTGACTAGTAGACATATTATCCTTTCCACACTGTCAGCTTCATTTTCTTCATCGTCATCATTATCGTCACCATCATCATTTCATCATCATCCTCATCATCATCGTCACCATCATCGTCACCACCATCGTCACCACCACTGCTACTGCTGCTACTACTACAACCACCATCACCACCACTACTACTGCTGCTACTACTACAACCACCGACACCACCACTACTACTGCTGCTACTACTACCACCACCGTCACTACCACGCTTTTACTACTTTGTCTTGACCTGGCTCATGTTTTTGTTTCGTTGTTACTAGGTCATCATGTTGACCAGGTTTATGTTTTTGTTTCGTTGTCACTAAGTCTTCATGTTAACCTGGTATATGTTTTTGTTTCGTTGTCACTAAGTCTTCATGTTGACCTGGTATATGTTTTTGTTTCGTTGTTACTAGGTCATCATGTTGACCAGGTTTATGTTTTTGTTTCGTTGTCACTAAGTCTTCATGTTAACCTGGTATATGTTTTTGTTTCGTTGTCACTAAGTCTTCATGTTGACCTGGTATATGTTTTTGTTTCGTTGTCACCAATTCTTTATGTTGACTAGTTTCATGGTTTTTGTTTCGTTGTTACTAAGTCTTCATGTTGACCAGGTTCATGTTTTTCTTTCGTTGTCACTAATTCTTCATGTTGACTAGTTTCGTGTTTTTGATCTGCAGGAGAAGGCCAGCCATATTCAGAAGACGAACTACAGCCACTAACAGGGCATCAACATCATGTGCCTGTGGCCACAGCCTTAGCCTAGACGATTGCATTATTACACTGTATTTATGCTTGTGTTGCCGCCTCCATTTTGTTTTCAATGTATTGACGCCTTAGTTTAGCCGAAAGACGGACGTGTGTCAATGTATTGACGCCTTAGTTTAGCCGAAAGACGGACGTGTCTCAATGTATTGACGCCTTAGTTTAGCCGAAAGACGGACGTGTCTCAATGTATTGACGCCTTAGTTTAGCCGAAAGACGGACGTGTCTCAATGTATTGACGCCTTAGTTTAGCCGAAAGACGGACGTGTCTCAATGCACTACATGTCGCTACAACAGACATGAAGTTAAACCCTGTTGTGTTCGAGTCATTTGCTCAGGGTTGACTGACTTATGTATACCATTCTAAATGTTTGCTGTCGTTCCCCCCCCCCCACCCCCCACTTCCCTTGCGCCCCTTCTAGCACGGCCTTCGCTTTTCTCGTTTTAGCTTACAAAGTTGGGGAGGAAGGGGGGGGGGGGGGGTTAGGTTGCCTCTGAAAGAAATGATTCTTTGACCTCTCCAGTTTGCGGCTTTGATGTGTTATTTGTTACAAGAAGCATTTCCTCTGGAGTAACTGTCATCACCGGCTAAACGAAGAAGTGTGAATTTGTTCTCCCTAAAGCTGCACAATAAATGCGAATTCCTTTTTTCCCCAGTCGGACTAATGTCAGCATACACAGGTCCTTGGTGACGATTGTAAATGTACTTTGTTATGTTTGTGTTTGTGATGGAGGCTGTCCAATCACTGTGGCCCCTTACTGATCTTCGTCTACGCAGGCCAATTGTCGGTCTAAACTGACAAACACGACCCTAGACCACGCCCAGTGTCCTCTCTACCAAGCCCACCTGTTGTCTCGCACAGATAGATCAAGTCCAGTGTCCTCTCTACCAAGCCCACCTGTTGTCTCGCACAGGTAGATCAAGTCCAGTGTCCTCTCTACCAAGCCCACCTGTTGTCTCGCACAGGTAGATCAAGCCCAGTGTCCTCTCTACCAGCCCACCTGTTGTCTCGCACAGGTAGACCACGCCCAGTGTCCTCTCTACCAGCCCACCTGTTGTCTCGCACAGGTAGATCAAGCCCAGTGTCCTCTCTACCAGCCCACCTGTTGTCTCGCACAGGTAGATCAAGCCCACCTGTTGTCTCGCACAGGTAGATCAAGCCCACCTGTTGTCTCGCACAGGTAGATCAAGCCCACCTGTTGTCTCGCACAGGTAGATCAAGACCACCTGTTGTCTCGCACAGGTAGATCAAGCCCAGTGTCCTCTCTACCTGCCCACCTGTTGTCTCGCACAGGTAGATCAAGCCCCGTGTCCTCTCTACCAGCCCACCTGTTGTCTCGCACAAGTAGATCAAGCCCAGTGTCCTCTCTACCAGCCCACCTGTTGTCTCGCACAGGTAGGCTTTCACACGCAGCCAAAGAATAGGCTTTTGTTGTTCGGCTCTTGTGTCGGTTCACTGTTTACAAAATGTCAGTGAGCCACCAGTCGTTTCATCAGCCAGAAGACAGTGGCAGTTGTTTGCCTAAATACACTCGGAGACTTAATAAGGAGGAGATCGGAGCACTTGTGGTCAGGTCCTATGTGCGACCAAGATGATCTTTAAATGAACAATGAAGAGTGTTCACAAAATCCACTCTCACATCAGCCTATATAATAACATCCGCCTCGCCTTGTACCACCAACACTTCTGCAAAGGTATTCCTTAGTGAATTAGCAGTCCAGTGCACTTGCACGGCCGAATTGCAACTTGTAACATATCATTTATGTTTACCACTAAGGAAACTTTTTAAAGGAGATGTTGGCTCGAACAAATCCGACTGTTTCAAACATTACCGATACTCTTTAGTTCGATATTTCGTTTCTTTTTCAGTTTAGCAATTTTAGTTTCGTTTCGGAAAAGAATGAGGTCGCTCAGTTTTGAGAGACTTAAATGAACTATTGAGACAAGGTTAGCTTTGTGTTTATGCCTAGGAAACAGCCGAGGCCAACAATATTGACGAGACGCATACACAAGTTGTTTCTACTTCAGACAGCTAGCACAGAGCAGACAACAGACACATTCGGTTGCACCTCAGACAGTAGACACAGGGAGATACATGCTAGCACAGAGCAGAAAATAGACACATCGGTTGCACCTCAGACAGTAGACACAGGGAGATACATGCTAGCACAGAGCAGACAACACAATAGACACATCGGTTGCACCTCAGACAGTAGACACAGGGAGATACATGCCAGCACAGAGCAGACAACAGACAACAACAGACAACAGACACATCGGTAGCACCTTAGACAGTAGACACAGGGAGATACATTTTCGTCATGTTGCAGAACGTTGCTCCCATCACCTGAAAGAAAC